TATATTTGTGAGTTTGTAAGTCCTAAGAGCAGGGCATGACTAAAAACTGCAATGAGAGTAGTAGTACAAGTAGTACAAGTGGTGCATAGTAGTGCTCGCAGTCATGTCGTTGGTGTAATAGCTTTTACTTGGAGTATATACGTCCTTCGGATACGACGGAACAATAAAAAGTCTCGAGCCGACCACGGCGGGTGGCAACCTAACGTCAACTGACCAAAATGTCCTCCGTGTGATGTCAAAAAGTACTACTTGGATGTCTGCACAGCAACACGCACCCGCACACCCTCACACCGCCTGCAGCTGTGTCTGCGCTGTCAGCTCCACTTTGTGTCCACCCTGAACATGGCAAACACTCTTCCAATCCTCCGTGAGACCTTTCACAATGTTGGACTTTTTTTTTTGATCGAACAAACAATTTATCTTCATACTCTGTTACAGAGTAAAACAATTTCATCTGCACAGTTTATATTCAAATGGCTTCTTGTTTTTCAAGGCATTCATACAATATGACACTAATCGTATTGATGTGTCTGTCACGGATGGATGGATGGATGGACCTAGTCATTAAAAATAGCAGAATAGTAGTAGTAGTAATTGTAGTAGTCTAAAGGTGCAATGATTAATCGACAACCAATCCATCATCAAATTAATCAATAAATATTTTGGATCATGGATTAACTGCTAAAAGATCTTTAATTTAAAATTGTCCAAATCCTTGACATTTCATCCTCTCAACAGTATATATTCTCAGATTTCTGCAATCCTCCGTGAAAGCAAATTGATGATCTTGCTTTTGGTTTCTTTTTTTTCTTTTTTTTGCAAACAGTAGTACTGGTAAAACTAATTTGAGTAAAAGTAATGTAGTAGTCATGCTAATTGCAGTAGTGCTGCAGTGGCACACATTGTAGAAGTAGTAGTCGTAGTAGTGTGGTGATAATTGTGATTGTTTTTGTAATTGTGGTCATAGTGTAGTGTGTTAATAGTAGAAGTAGTAGAAAATAGGAATTGTAATAGAGTAGTATTTGTAGTATTTCAGAAAATGAATGGATGGATGGTAGTAGGTTTAGGACTCCACATTTAGATTTTTCTGTCAGAAAGTTGACTTCTCTCTGTGCTGCTGTTTTGGTTCGCAACGGCAGTTCATCAGGGCCACGACAGCACAGCACGTAGTAAGTCCGGTACTCACCCGGCCCCTGTAGAGCTCATCCAGGCCGCAGTCGATCCACTTCTCCACGTCCAGCCTCCTCTGGAGCTCTTTGCGATTGTACTTGACAGTAACTCGAGCCTGGCGCCGCTGCAGGCTGTGGCCGCCCGGCTCGCGCCCGCCGCCGGCCCGGTTGGGCGACTGGTGGTTGCACACCTTGTTGACCCGCCGCCCCACCCGGTTCGCCGCCATCAGACTCAAAAACGGAAAGAATGGCTTATAAGTACCGGTTATGTAAAATTAATAGATAAATAAAAATAACAACAGAAACTAACACAGTGGGTCTAAATTTTAGGTCAGGTGGTAACAAAACTGAGTATGACAGTGCAAAAATATACTGAAAAATAAATGTATGAAATCACGATAAGCGATGATGTGTCCGGCGTATGCACACACACAGGACTTGGGAGGCAAAGGCAGCAGGGTGGGGAACCACGCGGTGGCTCACGTTGCCTTCAAATGCTATGGGAATCTGAGGAAATACCAATGTTCTCTTTGAGTTTCTATGCACCCAACAATGAGATTTTATTGCTTCACTTAGAATAATGATAGTTACTCAAAATTACAGAGTAATCAACGTCATACTTATTACATTTACGGTCGGAGTGCTGTACCAAACGGAATTATTTTTTGGACGGTGTAATTTGACGCATAGACAGTAAATGCAGCATAAAGGTACGTATCCCCGATGCGTCCTAGCGCCGACATTTTCCATGAATTTTCTCTTGGAAAAAAAAAAAAGCTTGAAAGAGGAGCAACAGCGCCCCCGCGGGTTAGTTTAACACGTAATGTGTACTGTAATTATTTATGATGATGTAACTGAAATGGAACGTCTGATTAATATAATTTTTTTTTGTTTTCATTCGTTGTTACGTTGACAAAGTTTATGTGACTGTATTTTCCAATTTAAATGATGTGTCAATACAAAAAAATATTATTATCAAAATAATAATAGTCAGCGAGATGACTCATAATTGAACGCGTTGCATAAACGTACTTTATGACCCTTGAATAGCACATATTATTTGATTAATTTAGGAGATCAAACGAGACACTCAAGATTTTTTTATTTTATTTTATCCATGAACATTATTACAGTACTTTGTACTTAGAATCTATTTTTACAGCTGTGTATAGACATTCATGATCATAACTGTACAGTATTTCTATTCGGGATTCAGCAATATGTCATTCAATGCGTTTTTCCATGATGAGCAATACTTTTTGCTGATTGGCTGGGAAAGATCACGCAGTATGTGTGTCAAGTCAAGTCAAGTTAAGTCAACTTCATTGTCAAATGTGCTCTATGTGCAACATACAGCACAGATCAAATTTCTTTCCTCTCAACCACAGGAGAGAGAGGAGCTGCTGCGGGTACCCGCGCCGCCATCATGTGTGGCGTCTTATATGATTTCTTTAAAATAATTTAAAAATAAGAATAAATTGGCGACTTAACTGCAAATCATCACGTTTTGTTAATAATAATAATAATATACTGTATACAATAAACAATAAATAAATGTTATATATGTGTGCATATATATATATTATATATAATATATATATATTATATATATATAAATATTATATAATTATAATTACATATTATAATTATACATACATATATTATACATACATATAATTATAATTATAATATATATATATATATATATATATAATTACATAAATATATAATATATATAATATAAGATATTTGTACAGTCTTTATAATTCCGATTTGTATAATGTACACAATAGGAGTGAATTTTTATGTAATTATTGTTTGTATTGTTGAGCAATACTCTTCGCTGATTGGCTAGGACACATTACGTGTAGGTGTGTGTTTTTTTTCAATTGAAATTCAAACAGCAAATAAAATGGCAAATAACCGGCGACAGGCACGTTTCACTGTTCCTGTTGTCGTGGTAAAGGAATTTATTCAATAGAATCAAATTTAAAAAAATCAATAAACATGATTTCGTTTGGGAAACGTCACGTAGTTTCTGTGGGCGTGCCCAGAGCCTCACCTGTGAGTCAGGTTAAATCTGCTACGACATAAAGAAATAGGAAGTGAATCGTAGCCCACGAAATTATTTTCGTCTTCTTACGGGGGACTTCTTTTGAGCTTTAACATAAAAGAAGAAGATGAACATGAAACGAGCGCCCCTCGGGTGTGCTTTGTGGTTTCTCTGCGTCGGTCTGGTTGTTTCCTGCGACTGGAGGCCATTAGACAATGACTTGGGAGCACCGTCCTTCGATGCCGGAGCGACGATCTTGGAACGGTTGGATATCTCCGACCCGGCGGACTGCCGAGAGGAATGCTGCAATGATCTCCGTTGCCAGATGGCTCTGCTGGGCTTCCCGGCGGACGGCCCGGTGCAGTGCCTGCTGGTGAGGTGCTTGGTCGGCGGCCACAACGTGTGCGAGCTGAATCCCAGCTCCCAGTTTCAGGTGGTCGGATGGAAGAAGCCACTGATGGCCGTCCCGTTTGTTGAGAACTCGAAACCTTCCAGAAATGAGAGCACAAGTAAGAACCAACTATATAAATGTTGTCATTAAGTACTGTACTACACAGTGGTGGGAAATAACGAGGTACATATACTTGGAAGTACGAAGGATTAGCTACTGAATTTAAGTAGATAATATATTCACCGTTTTTTCCCATTGCGTCAATTTATCAAAACTTGACTTTTGATATATTTCAGAGTGAGCTTTTTTTTGCTTCAGAAAGGAGGTGGTTTCAGTACTGAAACTTTTTTTGTAATTTGTACATGTACAGTACATGCACATCAATTAACCTCCACATTTTCCATTGAATCATTTAGGAACAACTTACATTATTAATTCTGAGCCGTATTTGAAATGGTAATATTCATTTTGTTCATTTGGAAAATAATTTTTAAATTTTGTAAATTACAAAATAACTAGAGAGTTATTTTGTAATTTTACAAAAAAAAAACATAAAATGCAGCTCCCACTTTATTATCGGTGCCCTAAATTAAGGATATATGGAGTTTAATTAATGTAAAAGTGAATTCTTAACCAGAATGCCACTTACTTGGCTTCCCTCAAGGCCCAACAGTCCAAATTTTGCTCACACCTCTTGCATATGACTATTTTCTCCATTTTTATTCACGAACAAATGAGGTAAAATGGCAAAACCATTTCGAATGTACCATATGTTAAACAAATAATACTGGATGGTGGTCACAACGAGTGCGGATCTTATGTGTACCATAATCCCCCTAAAACAAACAAGATCGACAATGTACTGTAACTTCCTTGTTGGAGGTAAGAAAACACGCATTTGTTTGCGCCAGCACACATCTGCTGGAAGCTTGAGAAAAAAAGTCAATCAATTCATGAGTTCATTTGCCACCGAAGAGTCAAAACTTTTCCTTATTGAAACACTGCATGGCAACCTGATTGATATTATTGAGTTGCCCAACTGTTAAACTGACATAACAGGAAGTAATGGAGGCTCCAACATTTCAGTCAACACGAGCACACCCTTCATCTCATTTATTTTGATTTATTCATTTCCGACCTCACGCAATTGTCCGGGAACATATTTGTCATTTCCGACATTGTGTGGGCATGTCAGACCGGTTGGTCTGGCTCCTTTCAGCTCGCAAGATGACACCTATATACAGAAACAAAGCCGATCCGCGTGCAAATAAAAGGATTGAGGTGAGATGTCACCTCCGTGGAAATTTTTCTTTGGTTGTTTTCTTTTGTCTTTTATCGGTGTGAACGTCTGAACCGATACCAATGCAAACACTAAGTGGAGCAGTGCAAACTTGGGCCTGGCCGATGATTCAAGTGACATTGGCACTGTTTGTTTTGTTTATTTTTTTTTTTAGACATTACAACGGATGACAAAGATAATCACGTTTGAACATCGACTCCCCCCCTCCCCCCCCCCCCCACACACACACACACACACCCTCAAAACGGGCTGATTTTTCAGATTTTCCTCTGTTGTAGACTTAAAAGATAAAGGACAAGTTATTGTAAAATAGTCAAATATTCTGCCTTTCGTTCGTATCTTTGCTCATTAAGGGGCCAAAAAAGAAGTTATTTTATTCATGATATATATTTTTTTAATTCATCGGTTATCAGAATTGAAATTGGGGCATCACATGACCCTTGGGTAAAAGACCAGCTGCCCTTTCAGTGTTGTTTGACTCGACGACTGTATGTGGATTCTTGTTTCAGATCCCTGTCTCCAGCCCATGAAGGTCGGATCGTGTCGCGCCGCCTTCCCCAAATTCTACTATGACGTTGTCAACCAGACGTGCCGCAGTTTCACGTACGGCGGCTGCGATGCCAACGGCAACAACTTCGAGAGCCGCGAGGACTGCGAGGCCACTTGTAATGGAGTCACAGGTGACCCTTTGTTCATTTATTTATTTTTAAATCCTGTTGTTTGATGTCAATGGTTAGACCAGAGTTAAGTCATTAAATAATTGGTTTATCAATTTATTATCTTACTAAATAAATCTTTGGGAGAACTTTACATATAGTTTAACATTTAAATTTTTTTAAAATAATTCCTTGATTAATTTCTTGTAAATAATGAAATAGAAAAATATTAGTATATCGAGTAATTACAGATATGCATGCAACTTTTTAAGAAATTTGTTTAATAATTTACTGCAAAAAAGAGAAAAAATGACGAACTTTACATCTACTTTTTAGAAAATGAAGTTCTTGTAAATGATAAACTAAAAGAGATTTGTGAAATGATCCATTTAAAATTTCAAATAATGAATTAGCATTAAAAGATGGTTCATTTTTAAAATTCAACATTTCTGGATCAATTGTTTAAATAAGTGGTGAATTATTTATCGTGGAATTTATCATGGATAATTAAAAAAATGAAAACCCGCGTGTTTAGATATGTGGGAAAAGTTAAGTCAACTCTGGTGGGACTCGAACCCACAACCTTTGAATGTCTGCTTTAGTGTGACTAGAAGTCCAACGCGCTATCCATTGCGCCACAGAGTCTCAGGTTACAGTGGCCAAGAAGGGGGAGTCTTCAGAAAAGAAACACCAGCTGAGAAATTTGCGCTTTTATTCCATATCCTTGGTATCCTTTTTAAGGTACTACGTGTGCCAGTTAACAGGTAGCACGTCACTAGTAGCGGGTCAACGAATGCACAGTAGTACAGCTCAAACGGCTTGCCGTAGTACTTCTGTCACAAAAGCTAATCTTTCAATTTAACTTTACGGTACAAAAGTACACGACACGCTAGAAAGCTAAGATAGCCCTCTCTGGTTTTGTCCTCAGGTTCTGTTCTTCCTGAAGCGTCGACGGCGGCGAGACCTCGCAGTTCAGTGAAATCTCTTCGAATGGCGCAGCCCATCGACGATCAAAGTAAATAGTCCAAACCATACAAAATGCTCCAAGGTGTAGCGGTGGAAGTTGTGCTAATAGCGGGTTAGCATTTTGTTAAGGACTTGACGACAACAAAACTACGGTCGCTCTCGCGCTGTTAGAATGTGGCTAGCCGAAGTAGCAGCACAGTGAAGACTGAACACGGCGACAATATCTTTGCTCGGCTTGTTGTCTTCATGATATCTTAGCAGGATTGGTACAAAGATTTTAGCACAGCTGTCAGTACTTGTACAAGTGCCACGTTCGGTGTTGTG